GATGTTTCTTTTGGCGGGGTGGATACTCTTTCTCCTTTTGGGCTGAGATGCTAAGGTAGAGGAGACAGAAACACTTCTCACTTGAACCTAATTCTGTGTGACAGTTGTTGCACAGGAGCTGTTCAAGGATTTGCACAAAATACAGGCTCAAATCGTTGCTAATTTCTTCTTTCCAATTAGTACTTAAAAATAGTGTGAGGATGTTTTTTGGGGGGGTAGATACTCTTTCTCCTTTTGGGCTGAAATGCAAAGGTGGAGGAGATAGAAACAGTTCTCATTTTAACCTGATTCTCTCCTCAAGGAGCTACAGTTGCTGCACAGGAGCTGTTCAAGGACTAACACAAAAGACATGCTCAAGATTTTGGAGTACTTCAAAAAAATAGTAGTGTGAGGATGTTTTTTGGAGGGTAGATGCTCTGTCTCCTTTTGGGCTGAGATGCAGATGTGGAGGAGATAGAAACACTCCTTATTTTAACCTGATTCCCTCCAGTTCTGCTGCAATGCCTGGTAGCACTGTGGATGCACAATTATACAGTGTATCTCAGCTTATTCCTATTGCATAAACAGATCCTGTAATTACTGTAACAACTCTCACATCACGCTATACACCCAACAGCACTTTGGGGAACTTGTCTATCAGGAGTTCTCCAACTAGTCATTTAGGTTCTGCTGTGAATGTGATCACACTGGTGCTCCTGGAAAATATCAGTTCCTCTTCAGGGACAGGAAAAAGCAAACGAAGCTGTTTCAGGATTAGAGACACAGAGGCATTGTTGCATGATTTAGGAAACTATGGCTTAGGAAATTCCCTCCTTCAGAGGAAAAAGGAACAAGCTATGTTTTTCATGGTTTTTTTTCTGAGAAGAGTTTTAAGCCAAGGCTTGCAGAGGATCTTGAAGCTTCCACTTGACTAAGTCCCCTGTCCGTGCCTTGGGCTGTGCACTCACTTCTCTTTGGTTACTGCCTGCTGACTCCAACCTTTGGTGGGTGAAGTTCTCTTGTTCTGGCAACATTCTTTCACTGGATTCGTGCTTGTATGTGTGCGAGACCCAGTGAAATGTAACCTGGAATGGTTTCATAATCATCACAGCGTGATTGAGGGCGCGGAGGAGCTGCCACGGGCTGGAAGCTTATCTGTTTTGTTCCTCAAGTGGCACATGCCAAAGATAACTCAGCCGGGTTTGTTGGCTTGCGTGGTTGTGTGTACATTTAACCTGCTCTTGATAGTTATTTTCGGTTAAATACTGGGAAATAACATTCTTGGAAGAGTTTTGTCTCCTCTGAGGGTGGTTGTGGGTCTGCTGAGGAGCCTTTAATGGTCCATAGCACAGCTAAAAGCTTACCTTTAGGCAAGCAGCAAGTAATTATCTTTGTTTATGCACTAAACTCTGGCTTATTGTCCAAAAATGGCGATATATCTTAGACTTAAGGAAAATATTTATAGCCTCAGCCTAAATAATGAGGTCCTTGTGGTTTGGGATTGCACTCAGTGCATTTCCCTGAGTGTGAAGGGGTAATGTGCCCTGGGAATTGCTGGATCTTGTTTCTGATGCTGTGAAACTCTATCTCTTGGTTAAAGGTTTGGAAAGAGAGGGTCAGGTTCGCCAGCTGAGGTGTCCTGAGCCCTTTGGGAGAACAGGACTGTTTGCAAGGGGCAGAACTGGGAATTGAAGAGGGTTGGTGTGGTCTTTTATTAAAAAGTGGGATGAGGGAAGGCACAGGGATGTGTAGCCTGAAAGCAGTCTGGGAAAGGTCATCTCAGGAACCTGTGACACTGGAGGGCTGGGAAAGGTTTGGGATTTAGATCTGGCCAGGGGAGGAGAAGTTCACACACATGCTTACTAGCTCTTTGATCCAGAGATGCTTCTTGTTCTTGTAAAATAATAACATAAAATGAACAGAGTTTTGTTGGGTTTTTTCCCCCCATTTTCAGTTCCCTAGTGTTGAGGGGCCCTAAGAGGGAACAATTCTGATCCATTCACCATCACAGGCACCTGCCAGGTGGGCTCTAAAGATTCCCTGTAGATCACAGCAGAATAAAGGTGCATTTTAGGGGTTTATTTTAGGACAGTGACTTTATTTGTAGCAGACTGTGCCCTCAGCAGCTTGGGGCAACCAATGCAAACAGACCAGTTAGAGGTCTTCTACAGCAGCAGGTTGCACAGAGGGAAGCTGAGGCTGTGCCATTTATGTACCTTTAATGTTACCCCTTGTTGTTATATAAATGATTGCAGTGCAAACTGCCACCTGCTCTTGATTTCTGTAGGTATTTTTACCTGTATATTTTAGGCCAGGGCTTGTTTATGTTATTAAGCAGATTAAAGACTGTAGAGGCATGGCAAGAATAGCATAGCTTATTCCTTCAACACTGGCAAGTACAAGTCACAATGGGAGTAGTTAGAATATAGAATAGAAACGATTACTGCCCAGACTAATAGCTTTAAAATGCCAAACTGCAGCTGGTAGCTGTGCCTGCTGCTGTTTGGTGGCTCTTGGAGAGATGCAGCTGCGTGTTTCCATGTCATCTCTTTAAAAGCATGGCTGCAGTCACGTTGGAAGTCCATGTTCAGCACTTACTGTCCTGAGGTAACTGAGTTTGATGAGACACTTTGTTCTAAGATCTCCAAGGAAATGTCTCCTTTCTAGTTCTGATTTGTAATGCCACGAAACTACCATGATTTGGTGAGTATCTGGTAAAAAAAAAAAGTTGGTTTTTTCTCATTGGTATTGATTCAGTCTTAGCATCTGTGAATTTAGTTTGAGATAGTTTTGAAATCAAGCTGTGCATCTCCTGAGCAGATGTTCACAGAATCATAGAATTTAAAGGTTGGAATGGACCTTACAGATCATCCAGTCTCAACCCCTGCCCTGGGCAGGGACACCTCCTCACTAGATCAGGTTGCTCAAGGCTCATCCAGCCTGGATTGAACATCACCAGGGTTGGGGCAGCCACAGCCTCCCTGGGCAACCTGTGCCAATGTCTCACCACCCTCACAGGGAAAAACTTTTTTCTCACATCCGACCTAGACTTTCCCTCCTTCAGTTTGAACTAAGTTGGGATATTCCACATTTAAAAGCTGCTCATGGAAGTGGTGCAGCTTGGACTACACCAAAACAAGCATGGTAGATATTAAAGGCTAAAAACAGGGCCCCAGTGCTCACCCTACATGGCTGTTTATTTACATTTGAGCATTTATTTGCTGCTTCTATTGCCCTCTCTGCCTATTTATATAAGATGGACAAGTAAATGACACTCCTTCCATGTGGCCTCAGCTAGCTAATCTCCTAATGGTCACAAAACCATCCAGCTGTGTCCAGAGCTGGGGGAGAGATGGTCAAATTCCCACTCTGAACCACTCTGTAAAGATCTGTCAGCTGATGGGAAGGTGTAACTCTTGCTGAAGAGTGACCAGCACTGCCCTGACCCTCCAAAATGTGCTTTGAGTCAATCTAGTGAGTTCCCCCAATGATGCTTTTGTGTCAAGTCTCAATCAGGCTCTTCTGACACGATGACACGTGAACAGGTTTGCCAAACACTCCACTCATGGATTTTCCTCTTGAACACGTGTGAATGAGGAACAGAAATGCAATGCCGACAGATCCATGGTGTCCAGTTAAATTGGTTTTGGAACAGCCAGTCATGGTCACTTCACTGGTGTTGCCCTGAGCAGCCTGTGCCAGTGGGAGGATGAGCCAGGAGAGCCTGGAAGGAATTTGCTGCTTTATGGAATTCCATGTAAAACACTGTGTGAAGCAAGAATGTGAGTGTGTGATGAGAGACTCCATCTCTTAGCAGAGGGGGCACGAAGTAGCTTTCTGATTCCTCTTGCTGTTTGAAGTAGATTTCTGATTTCTCTTGCTGTTTGAAGGCTACTTACTCCTCTCTGAGCAGAACTTTCTGTTCCCAGCGACTGGAAAACTGCTCTGGCACAAACAAGACAGAACTTGCTTTTGTGTATAACTCTGCAAGGCACAGTTATGCAAATCAGTTGTAAAGGAGCAGTGACTTCAGACAAATCAGACTTCAGCTGAATGTTTTAGCTGGGTAGACTTCTCCAGTAGTGGCTGGTTTAACCCTCTATCACTTCCCACTGGGGTTTGAGCAGCTTCTTCATGCTGCAGCATTTCCTGATTGACACAAAGTGTGGTGGAAGATGGATGTGACTTGGCCTCAGAAAAGTGAATTTGATGGTTGTGCAAAGCACCAGACTGTAGCAATGGGTATATTTGCATCAGGGACAAGGATTTAGTCTGAAATTATTTCCATTTTTAAGAAAATAATGTCATAAAAAGGCTTCTTATTGGACAGTGTTAAGAGTACGAGAGAAATAAAAAGCTTCTTTATGTGCAGTTCAGATGATTGATCTCTGTTCTTATGTAGGCAGTAAAATGATAGTTCATAAATGATGGTGATACTGAAACAGTTGGAAAGAATAGTAATTAAATGTGTATTTTCTGTGGCATTGATTTTTTTTGTAAAGTGGTTTGGGCCTGTTCCATTAGCAGTGGCTAATGGCATTCCCAGGAAACGTATCACAGCTCTGCAGTGTTCCCTTCCCCGTGGGGTTTGTGTGGGTGGCCCAGTTTGGCCTGTATTTATCACAGCTCCATAGTGATGTTTGCAGCTGTGTCATCCAGATGTGTCATTTGCAGCAGTGTGGCTTTGCAATATCCATGGTTTTCCCTCTCCTGTGAACTTTGGCTACTTCTTGGTGGATATTAGACTGTCATGTTATTCTGCACGTCCTGCCCTCACCATCTGGGTGTGCATATGTTGGTGACCCTTGGGAAAAGGTGACAAATGCACCTTCTACAACTGGTCTTGGAAGCTGGAGAGAAAATGATCCCCTTCTATATTGTTCCCTTCCCCCCCTCAGGGTAATTTGCAATCCAAAAAACTGGAAGCTGGAGTTAAATGGAGATTTTATGTCACAGCTTTGCATAGCAATTTTAATGTCCAAGGAAATAGCTACTAAACCATGTCCTGTTTTTTTCAGGTTTTCAGGATGAATCTGGAAAAACTCAGCAAACCTGAACTACTGACCCTGTTTAGTATTCTTGAGGGAGAATTAGAAGCAAGAGACCTTGTCATAGAAGCCTTAAAGGTATGTTGTAAGTACCAGGATAAGAGACAAAAATGACAACAGTACTAAGCAGAGCACTTGTATCCAAGGTGAAGTTCAGATTTATTACTGGTTCAGAATCCCATCTTAATATCAGCAGGATTACTTAATAAGTGCTGTATATCACCTGCCTCTTGGAATTCATTATTGAAAGCTGCCTGCAAGAAGCATTTTCATGTTGAAATTTTACCTGTGTTTTTATCCTTTCTGATAAAGTGTCCCTGCTATGTAAAAAGGTCTGTCAGAACTCCTTTGTTGGTTTTGTTCTCCCCTAGCAAGAAGGGCTGCTTAAAGCAGAAACTCTTCTCTCCAGGAGGCATCACAGATTAGTCTTTTAGTGAGAATAACGTCACAGTAAGTAAAAAGCATCCATGGCTTTGTATTGCCTAAGCCACCATAAGCTGTCACTGCTGAGAGCAGCAGAGCTGTGTGCTCAGCTACTTAGCCTTTCCCTTTGCTGGCACAAGCATTAGTGTAACCTCCCAGTGAGGCACAAACTAGCTAAAACTGCTCCAAAAAGTTCATTTCAGCTACATCAGTGCAGCTGATGTCATGGTGGTGTGAGCAGGTGTGATGGGACCTCTTCTGGCAGGGATTGCTTATGGTGCAGGGAATCTGGCTGGAATGGTGGGAGCTCTGAGCTTCAGCTGTGGTAATCCCTGGCCACTTTGGTGTGTCAGTGTTGAGCCTAGAATATACTTTCAAAATGTATAGTCCAGGTGTGACACTGCTGCTCTTTGAAGGAGAACTGGTTGGCACTCAGTAAAGTGGAAAAACCCAGTGGTAGGAATGATGGAAGGGGTCAGTCTCTGAAGAAATGAGTTGTGGCAGGGTTGGATGTTGAAGGCTCTTTCAAGCTGACCTGTCACTGCTCATAATGTTTAAAACTTGCAGTTATTTCCACAGAGAAATGGCAGCTTGAAGGCCTGAGACCTCCAGGGGCTTGGTTTTCCAGCAAAAGCTTCTCCAGCTTGATTCCAAGCACCTTTTGAGGGAGTGGAGGGATCTCCTCCTCCAAAACAGTCATTAGGATGCTTATCTTTGTTGTTAATTGGGTTTGCATTTAGATAATCCTTTCATTTTGGAGGTGTGTTGTTACCCTCTCCAAACTGTGGCTCAGCTGGAAGGTTTGGCTCCTGTTTTGAAACAGATCTGCAAGTCTCTCCTCTGCCCTGGGATCTGTTTTCTGACTCCATGTGGTCAGAATGCATGACCAAAACAAGGCTCACTTTAATATTTCAGTGTGAAATGCCTGTAATGGAGCACAGAGAGTCCAATGGGAAGGAATGCAGCAGCTCCATTCCAGAAGCTTTTTACTGCCTACCTTCCAGTCACTACTGGAATAGTGGAATAAAGCAATTATCTTTCCTGTTGAAATTTAACCTGCAGTTCCCTCTTGCATGAGGACATTAATATGGTTCCAATACCCTTTGACATAATTTGTCAAGTGCTCCTAACTGAGAAGAAATTAAATGAAATTGTAACCTATGTTTGGTAATTATGGAGTATAAAATACTGAGCTAATCAAAGGTTAGTGCTCTTTTCCCCTTCTTCTGTAAGGGATACAGTGCAGTGTTGCATCTGGAGACTGTGAGGAAAGCTGAAGGTAGCAGTGAATGCTTTGAGTCAGAGCTGGTTCTTGCTGCCTCACAGGAAAATTGCAAGCCTTGGAAACTGGCCTGTGCCTGCAGCAGTGGGAGATGTTGTAGGTCTCCAGCTGTGCTGCTCCTCAGGTCCAAAAGCTTGTTCACAGGGATCTGCAGCCCAGGCCTGGCTTCCTGCTGGCAGGCAGCTGCCCTGCCCTTTCAGTACGTGGAAGGAAAAGTCATGTAACTGCTTAATCTGGTGGCTGGGCAGAGGATCAGCAGCAGAGAGCTCCCAGCTTTGCTTTGTCCATTTCTTTGGAATATACTGCTAGAGAAATTCTGGCCTTACTGTGTTTTTCTTGTTGTTTGCTGATAGTAACTGTGGTGACAGCTTTACCATGCCTCACTGCCTGAAAGAGTTTGATTGTGTGTGACTAATTAAAGGAAACCTGCTAATCTGTTTACTCACATTTTGATACACACAAGTGCTGCCCTGAAGAAAAAAACCTCTTAAGACTGAAATAAAGATTGAAGCTCTGAAAGCATTTAGTTTGACTTGGATATCTTGGAAAAATTGTGTTGGAATTTGCACCAAGAGGGGTCAGAACACCCAGGGCTGGGGGAAGCTGGTTGTGCCATGCACAGAGGAGTTGTCTGTGGGCTCACAGCTCCTTCTGTTCCCTAAGTGTTATGGACAGTCTATCCTGCCTCAGCAGTTGGATTTATTTGGGGGGGGTGATAGTTTTATGCTAAGTGCAGGTATATGTTGGAGTTTAGCCCTCTGAACTTTGTGAGAGGATGACACGACCCTAAACCATGTCAGTGTTTTTCTCCAGCAGTTGCATTAGACATGTAGATATCAGTGGGTAAAAAGCAGAATTTTATCTGCCTATTTACTTCCCACGTAGTAACAAAAATGCATTTCCCTTCACGGGCTAACTTGACTTCTAAATCAGATTTAAATGCTTCTGAACTCTGGTTTCTGAGGCAGATCCTTTGGTACATTATAGGAAAGGACAAGCACTTTGCAGAGATGAAGTGGCTCAGTTTGTAAATTTGTGATTTGACTGTAGTACAGTCTGGAATAATTGATATTCCTGCACACTTAGAGACAAACACTTTGCATCTGGCATTTAGCAGAGAGAATCCATGTGTGCAGATGACAAAGCTTAAAATAGTTTTCTTCTCCCTCATGGTATCAGGCACTTGTTGCCTGGCACTGGCCTCGTTTCTCTCTGTCAAAATCAAGCTGTTGAGCCAGAGACAACTTGCTGAGCTTGCTCCTTTGCTTTCCTCTCCTCCCTTCACCTCTTCTCCCCAAATCTTTACTCTTTCTTCCATGCTCCTTTCTCCCTGGGTATCTCTTCAGACTCTGCCTGGAGCCAACACCTCTCCTGCCTCTGGGGTGACAGGTTTGACTCCTGGTGCTCAGATTCATGTTATCCAGAGCAGTTGTTAGGTGACTCTAATTGATGCCTTCAGTATATTATAATTTGCCCTTACTGACTTCTGTCCTTCATTAATTTATTTTTTTTCCTGAGGTTGACTTTTTGCCTTGCATATTGTCTCTATTGGAGTTCTGAGCACTGTGGTAGGGAACTTCATCTCTCCCTGTGAACCTGCTCATGACTTCTGATGTCCATTTAAAATTGCAACATTGCTTCAATTGCAACATTTATGCTTCTATAAAGGATTAAGTGAACAAATTTGCTGTATTCAAAATATTCTTGCCCAGTACTTCAGTTTGTTTTTCCTATTTTAAAACCTCCTTGGAAAAAAAAAAGCTTTTTTTTTTTTTTTTTTTTGCCTGAAAGTAGCTTCCTGTCCACTCCATAAATCTCAATGTTCTCCTTGGAACAGACCTTAAGTCTCACTTCTTATTGTGCTCCTTTTCCTGTAGTTCTAATCATGTTTATATCATCCAAAAACCCCAGATGCTGTCAGAGTTGCATAATACCAAGGGTTAGACTCTCAGCCCTTATTGCTATGTAGGAAGGATTGCATGAACCACACAGGTTGGGCTGAAATAGCACACCAGGACTGGAAACAATTCAATATTTAAATGGATCTCTATCACTGTGTTAGAGCATTTTGTTCCCTGCCTACTGTGCTTTAAAGAGAATTTTCCATACATTAGAGCTGGAGCTCTGTTTGCTTTTAAAGAACAGGAAACAGCTTTCTGGCTTATTCTTTTATGTTAATAAGGCCTCAGGCGATTTACACTGGAATAGAAACTATTCTGTGTTAATGACTGGGAGCTGGTGCTCAGCTCTGCTCCTGAATCCAGTGATTGGCTGGGAAACATTATTAATGCATTGCAGAGTGAAGTGTTCATTTGTCAGTGGGTTTAGAAATGAAGTTTACAGTGCACTTTTTCAGAAACCGAAGTCTACCTCTTGTTTAAAGAGGAAGGAAAGTTCAGTAATATAAAACCTTACTGCAGATGCTGTAAATCTTTCACAGATGGGGCAAATTGGGCTTTTGCATCACTTACAGAGCAGCTGCCATGGAGCAGTGTTCCCATGGGTGCTGTCTTGCTGGAATGCTGCAGTTCCTTACAGCTTTTTCTGCAGGTTTGGGGAGCTTTTTGTTTATTCCTTGCTTGAAGCAGCACAGTTTGCCAGGATCTTCCACAAGACTGATTTCTCCTCACCTTCTCAGTACCCAGGTGGTGCTGAACAGGGAGCTGAGAGAATGTGGGAATGAATCAGAGAATCATAGAATTTAGGGAATGGACCTGACCTGACAGATCATCCAGTCCCAACCCCTGCCCTGGGCAGGGACACCTCCTCACTAGATCAGGTTGCTCAAGGCTCATCCAGCCTGGCCTTGATCACCACCAGGGTTGGGGCAGCCACAGCCTCCCTGGGCAACCTGTGCCAGTGTCTCACCACCTTTTCTCACATCCAACCTAGACTTTTCCCTCCTTCAGTTTGAACCCATTTCCCCTTGTCCTGTCCCTGCAGTTCCTAACACAGAGTCCCTCTCCAGCTCCTTGCAGGCCCTTCGGAGAGTGAAAAGTTGCTCTGAGGTCTCCACAGTCTTCTCTTCTCCAGGCTGAACATGCTGGAATGGTTCCTGCTCTGAATTTCAGCCATCCAAGTGTTTTGGACTCCCTGTTTTAGGAGTGACCAAAGTGCAGTGCATGGACACAGTGCAGTCCCTGGGCCACCAGCCCAATGTGCTGGGAGCTGTGCACAGCCAGGATTACACCATGGACCAGAAATTCCCAGGCAAAGAAATTGCAGTTTTATACTGCTTGACATTTCCTAAGAAAACTTCTTATATTTTCCACAGCTGATAACAGCTCTGACGTGGGCAGATGTGGGGAGCTCTCGTTGATCTGGTTTGTTCACTTGATCTAATGATAGCAATTAAGACAGATGCTGCATTTGA